CCAGTCTCCCACACGGGTGCATACGGACCAGGATCCTGTGAGGCCAGAGTGGAGACGACAGTGTGAAGCCACACTGAGCAGCCCAGTGTCCTGCATTGGGCCGATTATCCCTGCTTAGCATCTCAGGGTGATAAGAGAAAGACTTGTCTTGGCATAGCATTCCTGTCCAACCAGTCTTCCTACTTCACCTGGCATACATCGCAAAAGTGAAGTTTAAACCTCCCCCCCCCACCACAGAGTTCATGGAGTTTAGAGGAACACATAATTGAAGATGGTGGTCATAAGGAGGAGTTTGGAGACTCTGCTGAGTATTACAGAAGCTGAAGACGCCTGTATAACAGGAAAAAACGGTAGGAAAAATGTGTTGCACTCCAATGCTATTTATAATACCTCAAATTCCAGAAAATGAGTTGCTCACAAGTTACAGAGATGGCCCGAGTAAGCACCGAGTCCCGAATAATGATGTCCTCCAGGTTTTGTGACGTGCAATTCCAGATTTGCCATTGCGTAATCCCAGAGCTGTAAACAATAGTGGTTAGGCAGTTTGCTTCGTTGGGGATGACCAGTGACGGCTGACAGGTGCAGAAAGACAGAGCGGTTAACTGTTCTTCTTTCTATTTTTCAATATATAAAAGAAGAAAAAAAGGTCGTTGACAGTTGTTTTTCTTGGGAATGTAAATCGTTAGAATGTCCTTGTCACAAGCACCACAAAACCCCAAGAAGTTCACAGAGTTCAGAGACCTTGAGGGAATAAAAAAAGGATAGTCTGTTTTCCTGTAACACTTTCCTTTTGAGACTTAAAAAAAAGGTATTGCCTTGGAAGTTGTTTTAATGCGTCTAGGAATGAAGTAAGTTGGACGAATGGGTCACTTTATTTGTAAACTAACAAGCAGCTTTCTGATTTCCTCTTTTCAAAATACAGACAGATATCATTCATTGAGCCATACTTTGCTGTGAGGGAAAAATGAAGTTGTACCAATGAATATTCTATTTTTGTAAAAAAATACTTGGGGTTTTAAATCTTAAAAACAGAAAAACATTTATTTTCCTCCCGTAAACATGCTGTTGCTTTGCCATGCATTGCACAGAAAAAAGTATCGGCCGAAGAGGAAAAAGGCAAAGATTATGATTTTAAAGTCACTTGAGGTCCTGTTCTTATTTACATTTTGCAAAGTATGTAATATGCATCTAATATATTCACTGTTGACCTCAAGTAATCTGGGTATATTATGGTTATTGAAATTCTAACCCTTAAAAATGTTACAAACCTCTGTAAATAAATGTAATTATCTAAAGTAAACAAACTGTCATAATATAATAAATCATATTTGGTTTAGGCATTTTAAGAACAAGTGAACAATCCTTTACAATAATATGGCGTATAACTTTTTAACACATACATGCTAGGAGCACACTTATCTTAAAGTTTAAGTTTTAGAGAAATTAAAAGAACTTAACATCTGGTTTCTACTTTTTGAAATCTTAAGCTTACATGACCAAAAACAAAATCATCAAATACTCATCAGTTTAGAATTCAGTCTAGGAAATGTATGTTTTCTTAAAAAAACATATATCCTAAAAAGCCATTCCTATTCCTTAAATCATGTAGACTGATGTCATTCTCCTTATTGGGATTTGTTTTCATTAACTCATTTCATTAATTCGTCTTAAAAAGTAACATGAGCAAAATGTAAAGCATAGAGAAAGTGAGATGCAAGTAATTATAGCAGAGATTGGAATGGCTTATTTTGTTTTGGGGACAGGTAACCATAGGACGCTTATCAGGGTTTAGTTCTCAGAAAGGATCTCAACTTTAGCATAATATCTAGAAATGTAACTAAAGTTGTACTATGTACTTGGTTTCACTGATAAAACGCATTGCTGAGAAAAAAAGAACAAGCGGACACCACCTGTTGCTTACCACTAAACCACTTCTCATGGTGCTGAAAGCAGTGTGACAAATTGAAAAACTTGTGCAATCCTGCCCACCTATTATTGGCTGTTTGTGAACATTTGCGTTTGGAAGATAATGTGGGAAAAGAAAAAGGAAAGGTGGTTTAAACGGTCAAATTATAGTGTTCACCGTTCACAGGAGTAACATCGGGCACAATATTAGCAACTGAAACCAGATGTCTTTTAACTTTTGGGGTATGGACCGTACTTTAATTTGTGACGTCTCGTGCAGGTGAGCTCTGAAGACCGAGAGCAGCATGGAGACTAGTGTCAGTGTTACCCTTCATTGTAACAGCCATGCTCACAACCTAATAGGGGAGTATGGCAAAAATGAGAGTGCTATTCTTTTATGAAAACTTCTATACTTTTTTTTCTTTGTTTTTTTCTATGGTGCCACATCACCAGTGTCTTTATACCAGGAAGAGCAAAATGTAATCTTTGTGTCTGTTGTGTTCTCACTTGTCATGCACTGGGCGTTGCAGTTAGATAATCACAGCTGATACCTGTGTGTACCTGTAAAGACACTGTGCCAGAAGAGAGTGATCATAATCTGTGTTCAAGGGGGCTTAGTACTCCGGACTGGATCAGAGATGAGCAAGGTAGTCATTCCTGGGTGGTGTAATGATTATGGAGAGTGTACAAAAAAAAGCTCATAGTGTATTCTGTTTTTATGTGGGTTTTTTTTTTTCGTAGTTTCAAATATATTTCTCTTTACCCCAAAAAGTGAAGCTGCGGAGTAGTAGCCCTTATGTTTCCCAGAGAAAAAGCACAGTCTTTTTGAGAGAAGGGAGAGGAGGAAAGTGACAGCGGGTCACGGAAGGAGAGCCCCGCTGTAAAGAGACAGTGGAGTAAAATTAAGATGCAGCAGGGGAATGAGCAGACACTGCATGCATTGTAATCCGACCAGGAGAGGCTGTGAGTGTGCTCCCAGGAGGGAAGGAGAGCAGGAATCAGGAGAAGGCGCGGAATTCCAGAGGTGCGACGGCTTCCTCCTTAACCAGACGGACAGTCAGGAGATGGGCAGACTGCCAGGACCCTACCTGCAGATCCAATCTGTCCTGCCGAGTCTCACAGCTGGCCTTTTAAGGGGTGATGCATTAGCCCTTCTGCTCCTGGTGTTTCCTGGAGCTGTTCTCTGATTGCTATCAGCTTTTCCCTTTCTTTTTTTTTTAAGGATGCTCACCAGTTCAATTTGGAATATCCGCCTCAAATCATAATCAGAACTTGTTACCAGACGATGACCTAAATTTGTTCGACCACCTGTAAAATTATATCACAGATTCCGAATTAAGATCCCTTTTCTCGGGTTGTTTTGGATTTTGTTGGTAGAATTCCGAGTTGATATCCTAACTCGTTTCTACTGCTGCAGCTTCTTGTATTTATTGTTTGGGGAAATGTGACCGGAAAAGTACTATATGGGTTTAAACAGCATTGTGTGTTAAGAATGCAAAGTGGGATTTAGACATCATTTAGAGAGACAGGAGGTTAATAGAATTTATAATAGGTTCTTGCAGAGACAGTGTAGGTGCTTTATATCTATTAAACCACAGTACTGGGATGGCAGATCTTTAAGGAATACCGGGTTATTGTTTTCAGTGTTGTTAGTGGACCAGCTGTCCTCTCCCTGGACCAGGAATTTCTAAACCAGTTCCCCGGTATGGTGACTATTGACATTGTGCAGAAAATCCTAACTGTTTTATTAAAGATCCAATGGCACCTTTTGTAAAAGTAGGGCCATTAACCTTGATGTCCTTGCTAATTTTAACACCGAACTTCCACAGCCAAGCTTGGCTAAACTACTTAACTGTAGTAGGGGTGTTGCTGGTGAGGTGCCCTAATATGTGTATGAGGTGCTTTTGGATCCATTGGGATTGAAATATTAAATTGAAATTAAATTTTAGAAAACAAGAAATTAACATCTTAACTGTGCTAACCATGAAAACGGTCTAGGCAGTGCAGTCCTTCGAGAACTTCAACCATCGAAAAGTGCTTGACTACTTTCTGGCTTTAGAAAAAATGCAACCCATGACAAAAATAGGGCAAATAAATCACATACTCCAAAGTCTAAAATGACTAAAAATTAATAAAATTGTGCTGTATTGAACAAAGTAGCGCTGCTTGAATATTAGTTTTGGTTCTTTGGTGTCTGCTCCTTAAATCTCTGGATCGCCTTTAACAGTAATGAAACTGCTGCTGGAGTAATATCTTTGCATCATATTGCTGCTTCAGAATCGCAAATCCTCTGCTTGAGCCAGAAAATAAACCATAAAATGTTTGTAATATTTTCATCTCGGAATTATTGTTTCCGTCCGACTGATATCTCTGGATTTGTGTTCAGGGTCAGTCACAGCATATTGACGGTTTTCAATACGAACGTTCCGTCAAAGATGTAAATTTTAAAGAAAGTATTAAATAGACGCAAGACCGAAATGTTATTTCATGCAATTAAACATTTCTTTAAGTAAACCCCTCCATTACAACAAAAGACAAGGAAGTCACTTTGGTAATGGAGTAATCTGAGCTCTTTGCTTCTCTGAAAAACATGGGATGTAAATGTATAATTCAAGTATGGAGGAAAATGGCTTTGTTTCTAATTGAAGACATTTTTGGCTGTTATTGTTGGGGTGAAGCTGTAGAAATACTTTTAAAATTGGGTATGAAGCTGGCAAAGGAATGTCAACAGTCAAATCTTGAATTTTTTAACAAAATACTATCGTTTAGCATTTGTAAATAACGTAAATTAATTCACACCCCTTTTATTCTGTGAAAAGCCATTTTATGTACACCATGTTGATTGGGGAAAAAAATACTGTTTAGTGTTTAAGATTGTACTTATTGTTATGACTTGTTAGTGTTTTGTGTTGTCTTAATTGCATAACACAGTTGTTGGCATTTTGATAGAAAATGTTACAAGGCAGAACCAAAACCCTGAAAAAAAAAACAAATCGCCTTTTTCAAAAATTAATATTACAGTCCTCCCCTTGCAGAAAATGAAGTAAAAATGTCTCCGTAATATTTCTATAGAAATGTAATTTATTTTTCCACACATAATATTTACCATTTTAATATACAATTTCCACGACCTGAAAATCCAGCATGTATTGGTAAGAGAGAAATAGAGAGCAGCAAAAGGGTGATCCTGTTGTCTTGGTTGCACTTCAATAAGCGCCAAAGTCTCTGTGAAGCGTGTCCCGAACGTACCACATCAGGCGCTTGAGATCAGCTGTGCTCTTTGATGGAGGGGATATGGTCAGCAATGAAACTCTTGACTCTTCTACAGCTCCGAGAATTAATTTTAGAGCCATTTTGCAGAGGTGCCTCTGGTGGGTATTCGGAAGGCAGAAAGCCAAGACATCCCGTCACATTTCAGCTTGATGCTGGTTTCTGTAAATTTTTATGCAGTACTTACACCCCATTCTGCTCTCACGCCTTTTGGTCCTTTTGTTTTAATTGCAGCCTTTTTGAAGAGTTTTGAATGAAGGTACTGTAGAAACAGAGGTGACCACCGAGTTCTTCCCTTTTAAGACATCTAGTGTAAATAGTTCTCCGAAGGCACTTATGTTTTGGAACAAATGGGGGTGTTAATAGAAGCAGAGGGAGTTTTTTTTTTTTACAATTCATGCACTTCGCCTGCCTCCCAGGGTAAGAATGTGATGTAATATATTAGCTAAGAAGAACGGAAAAAGAATCCATACGTCCTGTGTCAGACACATACTGGCATATTCCGAGAAGTCCAGCGTTCATCCCATGAGAAAAGATGAAATTCCCGTTTAAGACATTAAATCAGTGTTTGTATATACAACTAATACATGTCTTTTCCAAGAGTAAGTGGACATGAAAAAGCTTGCTTATTAATATAGTTATTTTCTTTACAAGTTTTGTGGTGAATTTGTTTTCTTCATTCTTCCTTCAAATAAATATTAACTCCTCAGGGCAGATTTTCTGTCTCTGTCTTTGCTCTGAAAGAAAACGGAAAAATGTAGTTACTTACAAAGTGTGTAAATGCCAGTGTAGATTTTTTTTTCCAAAATGACTTCTGCAATTATATTATTCAAAGTTAAACTCGCAGCAACTTTGTGACATTTTCTTACACATCGTTAATTGTGACTGCTGAAAATCATAGGGTGTTATGAGGTGGATGACTCATCACAGCTTGGGCAAATACATTCACTGTATACGTGCCGTATGTCAACATTTCTCAATTTTATGTTGAACACTTATTGAACCAAAATTAAATAATAGAGGTAAATAATTAAGTTTCAGTCCCAAAACAACGAAGCCACCATTTCTTAGCAACAGAAACTTATCTGACCTAATTACACACTAATGGCACTACAGTGCCATTACTCAAGCATTGTAAATTGTCACTTTCCTCATATTAATTGTGCTTTTACTCTTAAGAAAAAAAAAAGAGCTAATGCTGGTTATGCTGATTACAATTGTAATGGTGTATTATTTGGTATAGAATTTAATCGTCATTGCATACTTCAGAATTAAAGAAAGCAAATAAAACTCTCCTGTCATCCACTCATGTGTAGTTACTGCATTCAGATTGTCCTTTAGAAAATGAGCATGAAATTCCAACCTAATAGATGGGATGTCTAGCAGTCGCCCATTTATCAATGCGAAGCTTAACCCCTCGGCTCTTTCAGAAATACATTTTTCTGAGACTGTATTTCCTTGAGTCCAGGTTGTCTGGCCAGGAAGTGGAGCTTGGAAACAGTTAGCCTCATATTTTCCGTTCTCACCTTTCCCTCTTTTTGTGGCACACACCTGGCTTACATTACTTTTGTTTGCGCTGGTGAGAAAGAAAGTAATTGGAATGTCATTGTTTCCTCGGCTGCAGCGTGTGTGATGTAGGCTGGTGTTCGCAGTCAAAACATGCCATTTAAACTGATTAACACAAATGGAATCTTATTTGAAAACAAATCTGTGTCTTTTTTTTTTCTGCTCCGTACTCTTTTGTATCGTGACAGCAATTTTGAAGGGATTTTTAATTAGAAGGTTTTCCTTTTTAGTCTGCTTTATTTTGCGTGCGCCTTCGACAAAGCTGTGAGATTGAATTTTCTGTCTGCAGAAATTAATTTGAATAGCTGGAATTGAAAGGCACAGAACAAGCAATGGAACAGTTGGAAAAGAGCTCTAATTAAAATTCAGCTCACACTTTATTAGGTGTTTCTACAGAACTTAAGCCTGAATTGTAAAAGTTACCAGTTTAAAAAAAAAAACTGGGCGATCTGAAAAATACTTCTTGATTTCAAATTTTTAATTTTAATATTGGGAGAGGCAGCAGAAGACATTTAGAATGCGGTGTCTGCAACTGGACTTTTGCAATAGAAACAGGGGATGAATTTCAAATGTTGAGAAAAGGCAGCAGCCCTTAATCTTATTTGTTTATTTTTTGAAGTGTGCCTCATCTTTTCACTTGGGCTTCAAGTTTAACACAAATATTTAGTTTTAGTCCAGCCTGACAGAACGTGTTGGCAGCTTGGTAAATGATTACAATGGGGGTAACTTGTCAGTTACTCCCGCTGTGTTTGGAGTTGATGTATTTCTATACCTGTAACTTTACCCTTAACGATGAAATGGCTGCTTCAGCTTAACAGCTTTAATCATGTGCCACTCCAAGACACGTCAGAGCTCATTATAATGTTTCTGACATTTGATTCAACTATAATGCCGCTGTTAGCAGTAGTAAGTACTAGTCGAAATAAACCTATGTATTTGCAATTGATAGTTATCTTTTCTCTCTAGTACGCAGCATGGTGGTGTAAAGGGTCAAGTGTTAAGCGTAGCACGTATTTGATTCTGTAAAGCAAAAACCGCCCATACAGTCGGTTTGTCGGAATGCATTAAATAGCCAACAAGAAGCTTCTCAATTGGGAGGAGGCAGTTCAGTGAAGAAGAGGATCTGTCATTATTTATAGAAAAGCATGGAAAAACTTGAATAAAATAAAAAAGATTAAAAGAAAATGGGGGAGGGGCTTTTCGACTTTGAAACCCAACTCAAAAGTTTCATCTAAAACTCCTGATTGGTTTTTAAAAAGAAGCTGAGAGGACATGCCAAACAACTGCAGACATTCTGTCTTATGTGTACATTTAAAAATGATATTTTAGACATTTACAACGTTTCCTGCTCTTGGGATTTTCTGATCAAGGTCTTTCATCCCCCTCCCTAGTTAGGCTTTTGTGTGTGTGTCCTCATTCTTCATATAACGAGGAACAGCGAGAAACCGCAGAAATCAGTGTTTTTAATATCTAATTCTGTAAGAAATAAAGATCATTCTGTAGTCACTGGATGTGTATGGAGTATGCAAGAGCACAAACCAAGACTGTGGATGGACTTTTCCCATGTTTTCATTTTTAATACAAAAACCTTCAATATCAATGCAGTCAACGTCATTCTTAACAACAGCTTTTTTTGCGTAGATGTGGCTTATAGGGATATTTCAAGATGTTAAAATAAGTAACTTTTCCTACAGAAATAACCAATAATGAAATCTGCAAAAAAAACTATAAACAACGTAGAAGTAGTACTCTTATTTTAACAAAAAGTGTTCTTGCTAACTTTCATTTCTTAATGCTACTGTAGACTATATTAGTGGTACACTCTATGATACTACAGGAAAAAAGAGCAGCCACTTTCATGCTACATGATGTCATTATTTGTATAGCATCCTATAGTACTCAGTACACCTATAGAGTGAAGCGCCTATTTCCAAAACCCAGCCAATCTCTTTGCAAGGTGATAGTCTGCTCACTCAGGTATGGTAATTGGCTGTGACTCACCACACTGGCCAGAGGGGCTGCCAGTACCCTGTACACTTGCAGGATGTTTTTCATTACTACCGAACATTATTGCGGTGGAACCAGTCTGAACACCTGCAAGTCTCTTAAAACTTTTTCTTTTGTGAACGGTTCAGGTCTTGACATCAAATACTTAATTCCCCACTATAATGAATTCAACTTTTGCTCATTAGTCAACCATTTAAAATTCATGATAGTTTGTTCTGGCCTAGCTTTTAACCAAGGCTACAGCTGAATTATGTGTGGTTCATTCTCGTGTCTTTTGGAGTTTCTTCGTGACAGCTAATCTGAGGACTTTTGTAAAACATTTTGTATTCCCAGCAAGAGATTGAGTTCTGTAGTATACCGGTTTGGACTATTAGCTCTTACCAGCTTTTGATTATAAAAAGAGATGGAAGCTAATTTGTTTATTCTTAGAAATGCAGCTCTGGTCACTCATTAGTAATCTACACTGTTTTATACAAGGTAGAGAAAGAAGAAATATTTTAGATGTCATCTTAATTTAGAAATTGCTAGCCTTGTACGTGAATAGGTTCATTTTCATGGCGGTCTTTTTTGTGTAGTTCAGTGTGTCCGATATATGACCCGCAACTTTGTCAGTGTATAAAATGTGGTCGATGTTGTGTTTAATTGAATATTAAATAATAAAAATTATATCATGGTAACCCTTTGGGTGAATCTGTAAATTAAAATTGTGACAGACTTTTTATAGGAGAATGTCTGGTATGACCAAACAGATAAAAACTAGAAGATTCTGTTCAGCCTCTTGTAGTTATAAGCTTACAGAGTTAAACTTTCTTGAATGGATATGTGCCACAGCTTGTTATTGGTGAGAGGTTGATTGATACCAGGTGAATACACAATTAGAGACTGCTGTCAGCATAAAGTATAAAAAAATCTGCAAAAAAGTACAGAGTTTAAAAAAATAACACCTGACTGTCCCTGATCTAGAATAGGAAAGCTAAAGTAGAAAAATATATTTCTTGTTTTTATAGACTTTTTTATAGACTTTACTTATTTTTGAATACTTTTATTTCAAAAATTGTTTTGATATACTTTTTACTTATAGAGTATATAATATACGGTCCAATATATTGAGCACCTATAGGATTTTGTTGAAGCCAGTTATTTATTTGGAAAGGTCCTATTTGTAGAGAGGTGGATGAGCACTGATTTGACATTTTGATATTGCTGTAATTAATGTTTAATCAAATTTGCATTGACCCATTGTCCTCCATTGCTAATAAGCACGCATATTTCTTTAAATTCACATATATGTAACTTGGATTGTGGAAGTGGAAATATCCCCCGTATGTTTCTTTAAAAAGAAAAAAAAGGTTGTCTTGGCTGAACACTACACTTCAGTGGGTAATGAGTACTTAATATGGGTAAGGAGCGAGTGTGGTTAAAGAGAGTGGTTTTAGCTTTTAAAAGGCAACATCAAAGCAAATCCAATCTGTTTCAAATATCAGCTGAGCAAAAACTGTATAGACAAGGCTTTAATATTGGATAAAGACACTTAAAGTGTTATTATCTCATTTGCTGGTTTACTCTGGTAGAGCTGGGGGGAAATGGGATTGCTTCCAGCCAAGGGAATGTTGTCCATTATTGTTTCATTGTTGGTAATCGTGTGAGTTTTAGTTTCTATACATTTCCATATGACTGTAATGAGAACTTTGTGCCAAATGAGCACATAAATTCATAACAAAATGGAAGGAACTGGGAAAGAAGCCCCACTGGTATTTTTTCTAAAGATATAATAGCTAAAATGTTGAAAGTCCACATTTGATTTTTTTTTTCAGCTCCAATTTCTCAAATACGTGGTGACAGAAATATTTAGATGTGGACATCGAGACAGAACACCAACACAAATCTCATCATACCGTTTTTTGTTTGGGTGCTTTGGATCTACGTGATCCATCAGAGTTTGTAGATAAAAGGAGGAGATTGTGGCAGGACAAATCTGTTACCTAAGGTCTGCATCATGGAGGATCACATTAAAAATATCTTAGCTCCAAGAAAGAAAAAAAATCTGACAAGCTTTTTAGCAGTTCTGGTGCTCTAGTGATCCAAAGACTGAGGCAAGGGTGCTTGTATCGGTCGTTAACACTTTACTGAAAATAAATGGGAAGCCCAAATTTCCTATTCGTAGGCAAAGGCTCTGTATCATCTTACACCACAGAATCAAGTGTAAGAATTGTTTCATAATATGCTTTTCACAAGCCTGGGATTCATATCAGGTTTGTGTGCATGTTAACGAAAGACTAAAAATAAAGGTTAATACTGAAGCATTTCAGTTTAATCCTATATTTCAATAAATGAAACTGCAAATGAAATATTTGAACTTTGGGTATTCATACTGTTACCAGCCTGACATAAAATGACATTTTAATTAGGCTTTTGTCTAAACCAATTAAAGGCGTTACAGATCATCTTGTAAGTTACAAATAGTTTACTATAGAACATAATGTATCTGTGGTCTTGTCATTAGCAGCATAGAAAGTTTAATTTGGCTGTTTTTGAACACAAGTAAAACAAGTGCCAACTGGTGGCTCTGCTTGATTAACTTAATGACCTGGTATAAAAGGAAACCTATCGCTTATTATGCAAATGCATTTTGGTTTGGTGAGCATAATGATATTGGTTTCCACAGGTGCTCTGTGCACTTCTACATGTTTATTTGGAACACTTCAGTATGAAAATAATGCTAATCTGAAAATACAGGAAAGTGTTATGTGTTGTAATGAAATGTCTGAAACTCCATTAAAAATAGTTATTGTAATATGATCCAAATAATTGGTTTCTTAATTAAAATTAAGAAAACACTTCAGTGCACATGATGTAGAAGAACTGTAGGTTGAAAACGATTTCCTACCTTCTCTGATAGTAACGTATCCCTAATCATATCTGGTGTTTTAATCCACGGGTAACATATAATGTCAAGTACCAAAACCTTTCAGAGATATTCACTTAGTGAACTGACTTGACAGCATTATTAATTAGTAGGCAGGGACAAGCCTTAGATCAACACAGGATGTGCATTTAAGTCTTTCAGGGTACCTTTGTAGGCACTTCTGAAAATACAGTATAACAGATGTTAGGACAGTCATATGGGTTTGATATTTAGAGTTTTGTGAAATGGCTTTACAAGTCTGAAGTTTATTTTTAATGTGCAAAATACATACCCCTCTTGTGCTTTTCGTTCTTAAGTGTGAGTATTTCTATTCTGAATTTATTGAAGTGACCTTATTCTCTGCAATACCGTTCTCCTTTAAAGTTTTTTTTCCCCCTTATATTTATTTTTAACTACGTATAATAAGACAATCTGGAAACCTTTCATGCTCCCTGGATGAAAAATATTTTGTGGTTATGATATAACCAAAAATGTAACCAAGTCATGTTTGTCTTGAAATTTCTCGAACATATGGCAAATTTCAAGTTTGAAAGATCTTTACTCTTAAAGTTTTAATTAAGGCTTCTTTTTTTGCTATTGTTTTTTCTGATTTACTTTTGCTTTTATTGCATGTGCTGTGCGTGCTGTTTTTATGTGTGTTTGCTGTATTAGATTAAGATGTTTGTCTTCATTTTTTCTTTTAGTTTTTACTCGTTTAAAAATAACATACACATATGCAATAAAAAAACTATGGTGAGCTTATGTTCATATCGACCGTAACTATATTCCTTTTCAACACCTTTCATTACAATGAAGTCACCACAGACCACAGAAGACACTGGTGCACTGCGGGGTTAATGAGCATAGCTTCTGTGTAGCATCTGAGCTTCTTGTCAGTGTATCCCATTTACAACAGCTTATTCTATAGGATAAATGAAATCTCCACATAATAAGTGTGCTTTTCAGTTTTTATTCATGTATGACTCTTTCTATATGTATGTTTCTACACAGAACACAGAACTGTGTATACATGCATACACATTGTGTAAAATTAGATGTGTTTTTAAAAGAAAGTCAACTTTCAAAACTCAAAGCAAGTTGAGAAAATACTATTTTAGTATTCAAAGTATAATTAAAGTATAATTGTAACACAGTATGATCAAAATAGTAATAATCTTTGGTGTTGTCAAGTTTGGAATGATGCTCTTTACTACTGTATGAATGTTATAAAGGTCAATTTAAAGGATTCCTTTATTATTATAATTTTAAAAGGGAGACAATGTAATTATACATTCTCAGTGCCGACACATTTATTTATTTCGTTATTTTTGTTTCAATGTTAGTTTTGAGTTCACATTTGTCCCCCTTTTTTAGATTTTTTTTAAAGTCATGCATTTATATTGTATGTTTGTTTGTGGAAGGAAAAAAAAAACCTTTCAGCTGTCTTTAGCTTTGATGCAGAATATATTCAAGGAGTTATTTCTATTCCAAGCTGAATTTGTAAAAATCCATGTCTAACACCTAATATTGTTGTTTAGGCTACATATCTGACACCCACACTTCATCTAAGGACATTTTAAATACAGCGAGACACAATTATAAGTTCCGTTACATTTGTTTTATGTTATTTGGCAGATCCATTTATCCAAAGTGACTTCAAGGTGCAGAGGTATGTACTTTGGAGAGGTGTGAGTAGTGTGGAGCGATGAAGGTGCATAAAGTTCAGGAAAAAAAGACTGCCATGATGATGATGATGATGATGATGATGATAACCAGGAGCTGCTACAGTGCCTCCTGTGTTAGTGGGGTACTCACCATTTTCCTTTGGTTGCTGAGACAGAACGTGCAGATCTGTTTGGGCTGGGAGTTCTCGCTGTCCCTGCCCGGGCTGCTGTGGTGGTAGTAGGACGAAGTGGTGTGGCAGGGCTGCCCATCCCCACAGGCCTCCCCCACGAGCAGCACGTTCCCCAGGTGGGAGATGTAGCTGGACGCCAGGCGCAGGGTCTCGATCTTGGACAGCTTCCGGTCGGCGGGCTCCGTCGGGATGAGGGTGCGGAGAGCCGTGAAGGCGGTGTTGACGCTGTTGGTCCGGTCGCGCTCCCGGGCGTTGGCGGCGTTCCTCTGCCGGATCTCGCCCACGATTGGCGGCGGCCGCCGGCTGCCGGATTTCCGCTTGCCGCCAACCTTGATTTCGTAGCCGGAGTCGTCCAGGCGGAAGGACTTCTCGTCGGACCCCGAGCTCTCGCTGCCGTTTTCTTCGTCTTCCGAGAGCATGCTGATGTCGGAGTAAAGAAACCTGCTGGGGGCTGCGCGCACCATGGCAAAAGACATCTTGACTTGGTTTGAGTTTTGTTTGCGATATAACTAGTGCCCCCTTGCCCTTACCATGTATAGGTTCTAGTTTTGACAAGCTCTTTAAGAAACGTCAAAACAGTATCTGTGTAACTAATCCTTAAGTTTCAGAGCACATAGATTGCACATGATCTCAGTTGAAGCTCTTGTGTGGCATGGAAAACATGGAATGAGTTCCTTTCCCTCTGCCGTTTGCTTTTAAGAGAATGCCTTTCCTACGATACACATACACGTGTGATTTCTGTCTGAGTATTTCAGTATGGTTAGATTTTATAGCCAGTGGGAGTGTCCAGTGTGTCTCTCCCCCTCTGCTGTTTATGCAAATCCCAGGGCTGGCTAAGAGAGAGTCTATCTGCTGTGCTGCTATTGATACTTGTTTAACCCTCAAACGGCTTGCTTTTTTTAGAAAAAGAGAGGGGGGGGAGCTTAAAATTAAATTTGTCAAATTGCAAAGCCATTCATTTAGGATTCTGTCTGGGCTTCAAAGCTGCACTGCCCTCCAGTTTAATCTCCATTCCAGTACAGCTTTACTGCTTTTAATTATAATGTACAGTAGAAGGTAGAGAGTCAGCATGTCACAAAAAACAAAACGCAGCCCCCTAAACTATCCCTGGGCTCCACCATAAAACCCCAGAAGGTTCAAGGTAGATTAAATGTCAGCAGTTCAAAGTAAAGATATTTGTATTTAAGACCTAACTCCCTCCCCACCTCCTCCAAAAGAAAATATCAATTGTGGAGGGTGAAAGGATTGTGTTCTTTGTATTATTAAATAGTGGAAAAGCTGTAAAATAACCTTTTGAATTATTAAAACATGACCTTGCGCAGTGGAACAACTCATCTGTAATTTTCCTCCTAAAAACAGTTAAAGATGAAAGACTTCATCTGTTACGATGACAACAGGATAAATTATTTTTTAATTAGGTCATAATGCTTTAGAGGAACAGAGAAGGCTCAAGAGTAGCTTTAAAACACACCACTGGACGTGTTGAAAAGTGAAGTGAACTTGGGAAGTGGGAATAATGATTTGAGCAGAGCAAACTGTCTATCGGTGTAAGTAAAGGCTCTAAAAGAATAAGGAGAAAATTACATACCTGAAATGTGACTAACTATACAGTGACTGTTTTATTTACTGTTTGATGTGCTTGACAGAGTTTAGCACAGAAGGATCCAAAGTTGTGACAGCCAAAGTTAGAAATTATTACATGGTTATTCTTTCCGATTAATGCAGCGCACTTTTTTTGCAGTTTTTTTAGTTTAATGGTTTACACCTGCATGCAATACTTTTTTTTTCTTTTCCATTTAACTCCAAATTGATATTTTACATTTTTTTTAAATACACAGAGCCTAAAACACAGATGCCAACTTCTCATTGCTGAGTCACTTGATACAGAAGATCAATAAAAAAAATAGACAAACTTCATTATTTTAAATTTTTAGTTGTAGCTTCTTTTTCTCTTTTTTTCCCCCATGGTTTATCTTCTCTATATCTTCAAATGGAATGTTGCTGTGCAAATTGAGGACAACTAGTCACCTTTCATAAGATCTGTGTGTGTTACTGTCAAATGTTATTTAGAGCAAACATTCAGTGCCTTGTTTGAAACGTTTCTTTCTAAATATTTCTATTTTTATGTGATGTAAAATGGGTGGCACAGTAGCAACGTAGTGATGAGCATTGCTGCCTCACAGTGCTGGGGCCTTGGGTTCAATTCCTGACCTGGGGTGCTATCTGTATGGGGTTGTCCCTGTGGTTAAATGGTTTTCCTTCAGCTGTTGTGGTCTCCTTCCACAGTTCAGGAGGCTGATAAGCTTCTGTGAATTGGCCATAGGTGTGAGTTTGTGCGTGTCTGTGTTTTTCACTGCGATTGACTGGCGTCTGACTCAGGGTATACCCTGCCTTTTACACATTGCTTTCTGGGATAGGCTCAGGTTCCCCTGCGACCCTGAATTGGAAGATGTGGTTATAAAATGTTTTTTTCTAACTGCAAAAGGATTCATTCTGTATAATACTAATGTATCTAAACCTTACTGTGCTGAAAACTTTGTGTTTTCATAAATGGAATTTATCTTAAATTTCAATAAACAATTTTGATATTAGTGAGGTTAACAAAGTATTGGGAATTCTTAAATAAACCCACTACAATCCGCCTGTAATTCAAACCTGGCAAAATCTTGAGCAAAGAGATGCATCGTCTAACAAGCAGGGTTCTGTTCAAATATGTTTTAGTTGTACCTGTAGATTTTAGTTGTCTTATTCATCATGCTTTCCATATTATTTCAATCTTTCAAGTCTCATTGGAAAATCTGAAATGATATTTTGTGACTTTTTTTTCCAGAGACTTAATATATAAATGTCTAACATATAAGGTCTTGCCTGCAGTTTAATGATGTGGTTTGGTATAGCTTTACTTTTGCCATTTCTTTGCAAATGACAACGTATGCTTCAATTAAGTAATGATAATAGCATAATCTGAAACCCATTCAAATCATAATTTGAAACCCAAGCCCCATAATTGGGGACATTGTAAATCCACTGTAATATAGACCTTCTATTTGGTACTGTTTCCACTGGGGACTTTCTGAGTCAAATTTGTCTTTCGAGCCAGTAGGACCCATTAGACCTAAACAATGGAGAGCCTCTTCCTCTCTTTCTGTGACCTTTTAGCTCAAATGAACAGCAGAATCATCCAGTATCTAATGCATACTTTAATGGAGGTCTGAAACACTTTACATCGACAACATCACTTTATTAGTTATAATAGGGAGAGAGCCTGGGGTCAGAGCACAGGGTCAGCCATTGCCCAGCGCCCCTGGAGCAGTTGGGGTTAAGGGCCTTGCTCAGGGGCCCAACGGAGTAGGATTCTTTTGCTGGCCACAGGATACGAACCAGCAACAAGCGCAGATCCATAGCCACAGAGCCATTTCTGTGACGAAATTTCACACTGCACAGCTTTTCAGTATTTAAACCCAATCTAACCATTTAGTGCTGTCTGCGGGATTTGAGTCGACAACCTTTTAGCCACAGGTGCAGATCCTTAGCCACAGAGCCACTGCCCTCCGCCCTGACAATGATGCATCAGATCAGAATCATTGTCTTGTGCATCATTGTCTTCACGTGCATCAATAAAAGATGTTGATGCTCACTGATGTGCGGCAGTGAACAGCATGGAGCCTGATCGAATTCCACTTCAAGACAATGCATTGGATAAGTCAGAGATATCTTAAGGGTATTCCTGATACAGAATTATATGACTTTTACCCCAAACTAAAAGCATTTACGATGGCTTTTTCCAAGTGGCATTTGAGGAGTGTTGTAGGTAACACTTTTAGCAGTATTATCAAAGATACTGTATGAACTGTTAGTTTGAATCGCTTTCCAAAAAGTTCACTGGCTGCCAGTTTTTGCTGGTGCTTGTTTTATTGCATGTTTCCATTTCCAAAATACTCTATGGTTTCACACTTCTCACAGTTTAATGTTTAAGTAAGATCTCAGCCTTTGCAAATACATGGGAAATTAGAGGCATGCTTACTTTTTTTAAAATGGCAAAACAGCAATGAGAAGTGTACAATAAAGATCAATTGTGAACTTATTGTTTTGGTTTATACAGTATATACAATAATAAATTAAGGCACTAGGAAACTATGTTCTCTACATAGTTCAGTCATGGAAGTGATAGGGTGGACTTCATTTAAAAATTAAAATAAGAAAAAATCCATATTAATCCATATTAGTATTTGCACTTTTAATTACATGTTGTGATCTGAGGTATGGGTGTACTTCTGGTTTGTGTGAAAAAAAAATCATTTTTACATAGGTTATCCTTTATACCTCATTTACAATGTTTTTAGTTTGTGGCTCTCTTAAAGAAATAAAGTTTTTAAGTTAATCATTTTTCAAGCTTTTTTTTGTCAGGGACATTTGGAGTTTGTTTTGGACACAATATGTGTTTAATTGCCTTTTTTTTTTGTAGCAGGGCTGTTTTTTTCCTTTTAGAAAATTCCTTAATTTAAATTCTTAATATCATGCAAAGATTAAAAGATTCCTTTACAGGGAGTAATAAATCACCAGTTCATTTTTAAATACAGCAGTAATTAAATGTTTTCCTCAAGTAGAAACATGCTTGTTTATCATGTTCCAAATAAAGAATATTCCTTTTCTCTTTTTTTAAAGAACTGGAAAAACTTAAAATCATCTGGTATTTCATTTCCCTGTGAAACCAATTTTAAATCAGAATTGCTTTAACAGTTGCCTTCAATACGGAATTCACTGTTGGAGAAAACTGTCAAATAAGTGTTTTGGGGGGGGATATGTACGTGTGAATGTATTTCTACATTTAAATTTTGCTTTTGTGGTTTCAAATTACTTTTTTCTGTTCCTACAATGTGAACTTCATTATCTTAAAATGAAATATATGTAATTGGTTATATTTATTGGTGGTGTGTGACTTTTCTGTGGCAACTTTTTTATGAATATTGTGATTCATTTCCACAGTTGAATATTGTCTAAATAATCAGAAGAAGAAATACGGCTTTTTCAGTGTTCAAACACGTCTTCCGTTGTCCTGCCTCAGAACGGTCGTTTTGCATTGTGCACTAATGCTTAATCTGCTTCTGCCACATTCAGGAAGAAAGTAAATGTGAAACTGTGGAAGAATGGTTTTAATAAACAATACTCACATCCACACCTGCTGGCTCGTATTATCAAAAGGCTTATTATTTTTTTATTTCATTTGCATAACTAGTAAAATATGGGCACCAGGAGCTGTTTGGTTTTCAAAGTGTTCCCTTGCTGAATAAACAGGAAGGGCTCTGGGCTCAAAAGGTGTACAAGTTCATAATTTGACCTGGAGAAAAAGGTCCTGGTGAATGTAATTGTCCTAGTTTCTTCCTACATCATAAAGACATGCAGGTTAAGTTTGATGTTGGCTGTTTTGAAACCTTCCCAGTTCAAGAGGATTTCATCCCTAGGGTGTTTTGTCCCAGTAAAACCAGTACTGGCTGTGGGATTGTAGAGCGAGCCAAGTGAACATAATGGTTCCTCATTTGTTAATTTTCTAAAGTTTGCTTACTAAAAAATACATTTTTAAAGCAATTGTTGGTCTGAATTATATAACTATTTATTTGGCTGACACTTTTATCCAGAGCACCATATATTTGGACCCTTGTAGGGCATTTTACTAGAGCAAGCTATGTCAGATACCCCTGTTTAAGGGTACATCAGCAATGCAGG